GGAAGCTCGTAACGCCGCAAACGCTAATTTAACTCGTCGTTTCTGTATCGCGGGGCCAGGCCAGGACGCGCGGAGCCGAGCCGATTCTTCGGTTTTCCTCGGATCGCGACATTAATCACCGGTTGCCCGACCGTTTCAGCGAAGCCAACCGACGCGCGCCCGTTGGCGTGCGAGCGCGAGACAGCCGCGAGTCTCGCGTCTTCGTCTTTCGATTTATCAATTATACGCTCGCTTCTATGGAACGCGTCGGTCTTCGACCGTTTCGAGCTGTTTTCCGTCTCGCGAGCGAGAGAGAGAGAGAGAGAGAGAGAGAGAGAGAACGGGAGGCAGGGGAAGAGCGAAGACCGACACCGGTCACCATATCGTTCGAAACTTTTCGATCGTTGTTTTCCCGAACACCAATTCCATTCGGCTACTTTCGGGCGGGGAGTCGGCCGCCGATTCTCCAAGGATCGCGAAATTCGAAGTAACCGGTACCGGAGCGCACGGCATTCCCAGGATTCGACCGCGCCTGCGATTTCGATGAACCGCGGCGTACCCGGCACCCGTATCCAAAACCTTCCGAATCGTAGTCGGCGCGGCGACGGGACACCTTGCGCGATCGCGAGCCGATTCTCGCCTCGTCTCGTCTCGGCGAAGCGAGACGCGAGATGCCTCCGCAAACTCGCGAAACGCATCTCCGTTGTGCCCATTCCTATTCCCATTCCCATTCCCATTCCCATTCCCATTCCCATTCCCAACGGGTCGCCGTCGTTCCTCGAGTGTTTGCGTTCCGTTGGCATCGATAGAATCTCGAAACGCGCTCCTAATGCACGAATACATAAAGTGGCCGGCGTTGTTACGGGGTCAAACGAGATACCGTTGCCTCTGTTAACTTAACCCGCGCGGACCTCTTGCGCAACCCGAGGCGACGCGACGCCAGCCGACGGTGGCAAGCCGGCGCTGCCATGCCCTTCCCTGCCAACAGCTTTTTTCCCCTCGTTCCTCCGATCTAGAGTCGCGAGATCCTCGAATTGGGTCGAGACCGCGTCGCCGATCGCGTCCTATCTCGATAAGGGCGATCGAGGGATCTCCGCAACGACCGCGACCATGCATATTTCGCGGTAAGCTACGAGCTCTCGCGACGACCACGGCGTCCGTTTTCGGCTTCCGTCGCGTTGCACCATGGTCCGTGCTCGGCTTTGCAGTTGCATCGCTCTACGGAGAAGAGGATGCGGAGCAAACGATGTCGCGAACCTCGACCCCTCTTGCAAGGAGGATATATTGGCGAGCGCGATCTCCCGAAATATTTTTGTCCAGGGTAGTTCGTCCTACCGACGGTTCGTACCGTTTCTACGGAATGCGGATAGATGGTTCGTTCTCCGAATAGCGCGGTAAAATAGTATTTTTCCGTCGGTTATTCGTTAGCGTTTCGACGTACAATTCGGCTCGAAGAACGCGAGATCGCCGAAAGGAAAAACTACGAAGGAACGCGAGGAGGCGACGACGAGTCGGGTACGGGGCGCGGATTTCGCGGCGGCGGCGGCGGCGGCGGCGACGACGTCGATAAATTATCCGGCGCATCGGTTCGCGGGGTGCGTTTGTTTGCCGAGAAGAAAAATTTGGCCAGCCGTGGCGCCCGATGCGGCGCGGTCCGCGACGACGGCTGCCACCTGAGCAAACATCGCCGACCTATTAATCGTCGCAGCCCCGACACGGAAATACGAGACCGCCGAACCGCTTTCAAATATTTGAGGAATCCGTTGCGATGCTGCCGTGCCGCTGAATAATACATTATCTCCCTCGGTAATTAAACGAGGTGCCGCGCCGCGTTGCGTCGTTCCAGAAACACGTGAGAAATGGGGCGCGGCGCGGCAAAGGCGGCCTCCGTTCGTTCGACGAGAAACCGCGTAACCGTTCGGACATTGAAATTGGTTCCCGAACAAAGGTGCGAATCCGTAGAAATAAATATACGTGGGAAGAATCCCGACACTCGAGATCTCGAGCATCGAGACGGTCTATTTTTGGAGAACGCGAGCGTTTCGTATAATATTACTAAGAATCGGTATCGTCGCGGACTGCGACGCGTTTCCGTAAACCGATCGTCGACCGGTCCGCGAAATTCGATCTCGATCCTCTGCTCCCGACAATTATCCCGATCACGGTTTCCGGTTCGAAGCGCGTCGCTACCCGTTCGTCGATTCGCCGGCAGGAAGTTCTCGACGTCGTTGGTATCGAAGCTCGCTCGCACCGATACCAACCGATCGAAATGCACCGCGCGGTCACGAATTCCTTTTCAGCGACGCGTCGAGTCACCGTGCCTCGCGCCTTTAAGCCTTTAAGCCTTTAAGCCTTTAAGCTTCGCGCGGCGATCGTACGGCGGATATCGGGACGGTTTTAGCGCGACGCGCGGCCGTGAAACGGTCGAAACCGTCGAACGGGTAACGCTCGACCGCGGATCGCTGTCCATCTCGGTCGCGGCGTTTACGGAACAAGCTTCGCGGTGATCGGAAACGATTCGCTCGAACGAGGCGACGCGTTCGAACGTTGGCTCGCGGATAAACCGCGCGCGCGCGCGCGCGCGCGCGGTCGAAACTGCAGCCGTCTCGAGAAGTTTGCTCGACCGATCGACCGGAAGGAATCTCTCGGAGTCGATTGCAGGAGGTTCCGGGAGATTCCGGATGCTCGGGAATCCGATCGAGCCGAGGCACGGCGCGCCACCCATCCACCGTAGCCGCGATTTCGCGCGACTGCCGAGGCCGAGGCTGAGGCTGAGGCTGAGGCTGAGGCTGCGGCACCGGTGATCGGCGTCCCTCCCGTGGCGAGAACGCATCGATTGCGAAACGCGAAGGTATTTCTGCCGGCCTATAAATTCGAGCTAGCTCCGGCGACGCGAGAATAATAATGTCACTGATAAAATACCAAAGACCGAAGCCGGAGTAACCGTACTTCATTCAAGGCGTTAGCGTCCGACGAAGGTATTCGCTGGGAGGTAGACAGGGTGGTCGGCGCGGGGAGCGGGGAGCGGCGAGCGGGGCGCGGCGGACGCGGGCGGAAAAAGAGGTTCGACCGACCGGAGAACGAGAAGGAGAAGAGGAGAGAAGGAGAAAAGGAGGAAAGGAGGAAAGGAGCGAAGGAGAAAAGGAGAAGAGACCGAGCGAACGGGAGAGGAGGACGAGGTGGGAAGGGTGGACGTGTACAGCCGAGAGAACGAAACGATCCCCTACGCGCGGAGAACCGGAGGAATTTATAACTTTCGCGCTCGGCGATACCGGCCGCGTCGCTTATCGGCTGCGTTGCACTTGTTTTCGCTGGACTATCGGCATAAAGATCGGAAAACGTTTCGCGTCGCGGGCAATTTCACGATTCGCCGGGTATTCGCCGGGTATTCGCCGGGTATTCGTCGGGTATCGGCCGGGTATTCGCGCGTTACGTTCGGCCGGAGAGAAGTCGAACCCACCGGAGAAACGCGAGAGAGCCGTTCCCCGACCTAACCCCAAAGGGGAACGGCTTTCCTTCGAATCGCTGGCACGTTTTACGCGCCGTCGGCTGACATTTACAATGAAATCTCGGCAGGCCGATGCCGGTTCGTACCATTCTTCCCGAACGACGTCGTCGCGGGATCGACGACGCGCGACGACGACGACGACGACGACAACGACCCCAAGACCCGCTGTAAAAACCTGTTTCCATCGGTCCGCTGCCGCGTCGCGCGTTGGCCCGCCTCGAATCTGCGCGGCTGGTCGAGCTGCGCGAGATGGACGTGTCCGGTTCGTCGACGCAACGGTTTTCGCCGAGTAAATCCATAGAATTCGTATGCGACGCGTCGACGAAAGCGTCCGTCGATGGTTTCATCGGTCGGATTTCGATCGGGGGACGTCGAGTTCCCGGACAGCTGCGATCCCACGATTATCCTTCGGCGAAGCCGAACTCGGGGGAGCAGTTCCTCGACCCTGGCTCGCGATCCTCCCTCCGTTCGACCCAGTTGAAAATCCCACCCACGCGATCTTCCACGGCGTGTGCGAGAACGGAGGGTTTAGTTCGGAGGATTCGACCATATGCTCGGTCGACGCCGATGGAAACAGTTGTCGACGCGCAGCTTCTTTTTACACGCCGCGCGCTCCACCTCGTTCGGGTGGCTTAGGAAAGGAGCGGGTCCTCCGACCCTGTTTCAAAAATACACGCGCGTACCATATCTCCTGTATCCGTGTCTTATATTTCGAGTCTACGTCGATTAGAAGCTGTTCGAGGACGAAGCGGGACGCGGCTCGCGGAAATCGGTTTCTGGAAAGTTTAAGTTCCCCGTTCGTCTTCGCCGGATCGAGACCGAGAGCGAGGACGAGGACGAGGGGGGCGGTGTTGGAACTCGGATCTCGAATCGGCGCGGCGCGAGCCCCGAAGGAATCGTGCTCCTTCCCTCTCTCTCTCTCTCTCTCTCTCTCTCGTCTCGAAGCGCGATGGTTTTTGCAGCCGGGGTCCGGTTCTTCGGCGACACGGATCTACCCGAACGCGTGGAACTCGCCGGGCGCGCATCGGGGTCCGGCTACGGCTACCAAGTGGCTAGAATATCGGCGCGAGCTCGAGAGAAACACGAAGCCTCGCGTGTCCGCGAACCGGCGCGGCGGAACGATCGCAGCAGCTCGCGACTCGGTAGGGAGTCGATGCGCGGATAGTCGGATAGTCGGATGGTCGGCTAGGGCGATCGCGCGAACGCGACGGCAAGCGGTGGGGCGAGGTTCGGCGGTCGGCCGAGGGGGTTCGGCGAGGTTCGGCGAGGTTCGGCGGGGTTCGAGGGAGCAGCGAGGGGCACGGGATCCGACCGTATACCCGACTACCGCGTAGCCAACGGTGCCCCCTGTCTCCCACCGATGTAGAATGTACGGCGAGGTCGGAGGAGCGGAGAGGGGCGAAGGCGGCTGCGACGGCGGCTCCGACGACGACGGCGACGGTGACGGCGACGGCGACGACAGCGGCAGCGGCAGCGGCGGAGAGCGAGCATGGAGAGTGGAGAGTGGAGAGTGGATAGTGGATAGTGGAGAGTGGAGAGTGGAGAGAGCGCGCCGAGGCTGCGCCAACTCCGATCCGAGTTTTCGGTGCCGTCGCCAGTGGCGGAGCCAGTTTCTCGCGTAGCATCGGCGAGCCGGCGGCGTCGAGGCTGGTCGAGGCGCCCCTTCAGTATGAAGCCGACGACCGTGCCAGTTGCAGCTGCTGCACCTGTCGTCCCGTCTACCGCGACAACCGAGCTCGCCGGACGCTCCTGCGTCCGGATCCTTCGCGCGCGACACCGATACCCCACGGATACCGTGTTCGCAGCTCCGATTTCGTTCGCCGTGGACAAATGAGAAGCCCCCGGAGACGCGAGAAGACGCAAGGAGACGCACAGAGACGCGAGGAGAGCCACGGAAGGGTGCGAGAACGTCGCCGGCCAGCTACCCGGCCACCTTCCGGATAGAACCGACGGATCGCGCGGTGGAATATACGAGGGGACCGATACCGGACCGATCCGGGAACCGATTCGGGAGAGGAGACGCGCGAGGATCGGGAGAGAGAGAGGATCGTCGTCGATCTTGCGAAACCCGTTCTCTGGCTCCCTCTCACCCCCTATGTACTCTCGTCCGTCTCTCTCGCGGCCGGTTCTTCCTGGACGCGATCGGTGATCGGCTTGTGTTCCTCCAGTGTTTCTTATTTCCTTACCCACGCTGGCTAAGGTTGCTGCTGCTGCTTCTTCTTCTTCTTTCTCCTCCTCTTTCTCCTCTTCTACTTCGTCGTTGTAGTTTGCTGCCCCCCTCCCCCCTCAATCTCTCTCTCTCTCTCCCTCGCTCTCTTCCTTCTTGTCCCGCTTCTTCCTGGCCGTCGTCCGCGTCGCGAGGAGATCGTCGTCTCGTTGGCCGAAGAAACTGTGATACGCGGTGAAGAAAGAGGAGACGCGTGCGGGACTCTGTATAAAAGTGAAAACTCGTTCCTCCGGTGACGTGGTTGTTCGGGTGCTCCTCCTACTTGCTCGAACCACGGACCCTCGCACGCACACTATTTTACTGGATATTTCGGACTACCTGGAATTTGTGCCGGCTCACGGACGATCGTCGAACGGCCGCAGCCTGGACCTCGATCCGGACCTGAACCCTCATCGGTGGCCAGGTGAGTCGTCCCCGCAGTAAATTCCTCGAGGCTGACAGAGACGCGCCAGGGTCAAGAGCGGTCAGAGTCGAGAGCGTCGCGACGCGCGTGCACGCTCTCTCTCTCTCTCTCTCTCTCTCTCCTTCTCTCTCCCGCACCATCTCTCGACTCGAGAGCTCGGCCGACCACCCTTGTCCGTCCCTTCTTCGGATCGTCGCTCCGATCGCACGACCGCTCTACGCTCCGCGATGTTTACCGCGGGATAAGCGGCCCGGCAAACGCGGGGTCGAACGTCGCGACGACGAAATTACGCGTCGTCGCGTGTCTGGAATAGGGTCGACGGAATTATCCGCTGCAATATTTGCCGACCTTTCGAACGATTTGAGCGGAACTCTTTCGCGGTGGTCGCTAACCAGGCTGCCCGATCAGGCTTGTCCGGACCGCTTCGGAGTCGCTCGATCGGTGCGCGAGAACGTGCTTCGAAAATACTCGTCGCGACGAAACACGGTAAGGAGCGCGAAGTTATTTGCTGCTTCGAAAGAGTTCCCTGTCGTCGTCCGTCCTTGCTTCGTCTCGCGAGGTTCGCCCGTATCGATGAAATCGACGAGAGTGGGAACGGATTTGGTGGATTTCGAAAGACCGATGCTCCAGTTTCGAACAATATGTTTGTTACCGCTCGAAGCCGCGATAAAATTCGAGTTGGCGAGAAACGTCCGCGGGACGAGTCCGTTGTTTTCTCGTGAGAACGTTCGAACAAACCGAGGAAACCGTAACACGGGATCTCGTTCCCCGGTTCGTTAAGAATTTGCGAGGAACGCGAGATCCGTAGGTGCGATCCGGACGAAGATCGATATCGGCGAGTTAATTGTTCCTTCGTTCGTACAGGATGCGCCGTCGCTACAGTACGCGCAGTCCACGCTCCGAGAGTGAAATCTGCCACGATCGTGCAAACCGTTCGCCGCAACGTTCGAACTTTTTCCGAAACCGTGCTCGCGGCCCGAAATTGGCGGCAGCTCGCGTGCTCGACCTCGTCGATTTACCCTGCAAAAATATCAATCCCCCCGCGCTTTCCGGCGCGTCCTCGGAGCCGCGGAGCTTCTCGATCGACTTTCTCGGTGATTCGGTGAAACGTAGGGGCCCGTTTAATCCGCAGCTTTTCGTTGTTCGACCCTTGGCGCGAACACGGTCAACGTTCAACGGGCAACGAGGGAACGCGCGCGACGGCGGATTCGAGGGGCAAAAACGAGCGAGTCGCCGCACCGCGCCGGATCGACCGTAATAAATCATTCGAAGCGCATTACGGAGCAGGGAAAATTGCCGGCGCGATCTTTCATCTTCCCATTATCGTTCGGGTAGCACGGTCAGGATCGTGCCGATCCTCGTCCCGCGACCGCCGCCATTCAATCGACTTCTCGCGAATTACGCGAGCCTCGCGACGACGATTCGTGCTCCGCGCATAACGAGATCCTCCGCCGATCGGGAAATATTTGCCGCAGTCCGCGATTCGCGTCGCGAGATTTCTCGAAATCGAAACGGGCAGGCAGGATCGTCGGCCGAAGAAAAGTCGACGTCGGCCCGTCCGGTCGTCGTTGCGAAGAATCGCCGCGAATAGCAAAGCCGGCGCGGATCGAGATTTTCAATTAGTCGAGTTAATTATCGATCGTCGTAAAACTCTCGGAGCTCTCGTATACCGGTCCCGTCGACGCTCCAGCGTTCGATCGGTTTAACGACCGACATCGCGCGCGCGCGCGCGACCCACATAACCGTTTTTCTCCGTGCTGGATCGCGCGAGCGCGATCGCGATCGCGATCGCTCCGTGTAACCAACGACGACGGCGTTTCGGCTGCTCGCGATCGAATCGAAGACGAGCGCGGATTTCCTTGGAAGAATTTCGAGCGGGTCGCCTAATTGGTCGAGACGCGAGGAAGAACGCGCGCGCGTCGAAAGAGAGCCGGTCGGGTCTCGGGTCTCGGACCTCGGACCTCGGGTCAGCTCTTTGGCAGAGGTGAACGGCCCCTTTTTTCTGCACGAGCCTCGCGAATCCCCGGTTCGGACCGAGAGCACCGTTTTCGCGCGAGTTCGCGCGTTAAGAGGCTCCTCCCGAAGGAGATCGACGGCGTTTCGAGCCGGTCGTTGGCGAAAGAGGGAACATCGTAAAGCGCGAACGAGGATCGTGGAGAACTAGCGCGATGCGAGTCGCAACCGTGCACCGGTAGCAACGAAAATTACGGTTCGCGTTCGGCTCGCCGCGCCGCGCCGCGCCGCGCCGCTTCGCACCGTTTATGCCTTTTACGCGTCGAACACGGATCACCGTTCGGGCGGTGTTTACAACGATCCTCGAGGGCACCGGGGACGGTCGCTCGTAATTTAGCTGCTGGCTGCACGATCGGCTGAAAGTAAGTTAATCCGGGGTTTACCGGTTACGGCGTCGTCGCGCGGCGCGGAGAGGAGAGAAGAGAGAGGAGAGAAGAAGAGAGAAAAACTGCGCGAACTCGAGCGTGAACGCGAGATCCGTCTGCCGCGAAGGTCTGGACGCGAGGAGCTGGACGGGGGGGACCGAACAGCGAGCGGCTCGAGCTTGGGTTACCAGACGCCGCGGTCGTCGCGCCTCGCGCCGATCGACCTTCGCGATCGGGCTTCTCCCTTTTTACGGGCCCGCATCTACGACCCGCGTCGTGCAACTGCGCGATTCCCCCCGATAGACACCGGGTTTTTTTTCTTCTCGCTCGGTAACGGAAACGCGCGGCTCTTCTGGTCGGCTTCACAGCTGGGTGCTCGAAGGTCTCGCGACTCGGCTCGGACTCGGCTCGGCGATTACAGTTACGCGCCTTTCGTTGCCACCGGCGAACGTCGTCGATCGTTGTTTCCGACATTCGAATTCTTTCGAAAATGTTGCCGATTCGGAAACGACTGTCCGAACGAGGAGAACGATAACGATTCGGTCGCTTTCCGCCGAACGTTCCGCGAAATTGACAAAAACTAGGGAAAGTGGTCGACGGGTTGCGATCGTTGGCCACGCGCGTGGTCGCGCGGTAGAACGAAACGGCTGGAAGGAAAGTCGTTCGCGCCGTAAAAGGAATTTTCCGTCGGCGAATCAGATTTTCGTAATTATCGGTAGCGTCGCCTTCGGCGACCGGCCGAATCGCTGAAAATTGGTTCGATCGTCGCGTCGGACGAAAGAAAGTGTCTCGAGTCGGTTAACGAGAAAGGCGCGAACAAGTCGGTTAACAAGAATCGCACGAAGGTCGGATTTTAAGGGTTCGCGGGAGAAAGGCGAACGGAAACGAGCGGACAACTTTTATCGTTGGGAAAACAGTAAACGCGAAGCAAAGCCTCGTAATCGGCCGCAATTAATTCAATTACCCCCAGTGAAAGGAAGTTCGATGTCTGCTAACGAGGCAAGCGAACATCGTGGCATCGTGGCTCGTTTATCGTTTATCGCTCGTCCCTCTCCGTTCCGTCGTTCGCGAATTCGTCGTTCGCGAATTCGTCGTTCGCGAACGCGACGCTCGATGGCTCGACCGCGACGAATCCGCCTTACGAGAAAAAGGCAGAGGCGACCGTTGAAAAATCGCGATTTCCACGTTCGACCCGATTCTCGCGGGACGTCGCACTTTCGTGCTCGTTCGTGCCGCGTTCTCATCGTTTCGCGAGAGAACGAATCTCACCGTCGGTTGCTCCGTCGGCTCTGCTCCTCCATCTCGTTCTCGTTCTCGTTCTCGTTCTCGTTCTCGCGGTTAAATATCGAGCCGAGGCTGTTGAGCGAAACGCTGCCATCGAAATCGCTACGTCGATAGAGAATACGTTTCTACGGTGGTCCGGTGCTGTACCCGTCGCGACGTTTAAATCGGGCGAAACGTCTTTGGCAACGACGACTCTCCGTGTCCGTATCGAAGATCGAAACGCGCGATAGCGATGGACGACCTTGCCGTCACCGGCGCGTCCTTTCCGCTTCCCGTCGGCTTATCTAGGATCGATGGATTTCATTGAAACGCGAAGCCGACGAACGCGCGCGACGAATGTGGGACGAGGGATAATTACCGTGTGCGGGGACCGATTGTCCAACGATGGCGACGGGTTACGTAAAAGTGGACGCGGTCGATGGAATTCGGATCGGAATCGAAGGAACGACGATCGCCTCCGAAGCGATTTTCTCTTCGGTGGACGAATGGACGAACGGACGAACTCGTAACGAACGGTGGTTTTCACGCCCCGGGGGACAGTCTGCCGCGCCGCCGATCGGAGCCGGTCCAATTAAAGAGCATCTTCGCCGATCGCGATCGATGCCGACTTCCTAGTGTACGATTCTCCGTGAATCGACCGAGCCCCCTTGATTTCACCTCCCACTCGATAACGAGCGCGCGAACGGTCCGCCGAATGCTCCTAGGAACCGAGCCGCGTTTATCGGAGCTCGCTTCGCGCATAAAAATCAAACGGCGAAACGAGCGCGCGACCGTAGCAGTCGACGCATCCGGCGCGGCAAATTACGTGTTCCGAGGGCCAGCGGATGGGCGCGTTTAGAGGGTGAATATCGATAAGCGGGGAAAAAAGGACCCCGGCGACGTCCTAGAAAGCTACGGGAGAGCTCTTTCTGTCTCTCTCACTCTCTCTCTCTCTCTCTCTCTCTCTCTCTCTCTCTCTCTCTCTCTCTGTTCCTCCCTTTAGCCGACAGATTCCGTCACGATTCGTTTCCCGAGCAGAAGGTTAACGTATGCTCGCGTTTTAGCGCGCGTAATTACGGAGTCGCGTGGCAAAAACGGACGAGCGACGGATCGTCGATAAGCCGCGGGTGCCGGAGCAGGGAAAATGGCTGCGCCCGAGCAGAGATAATTAGCGGGGAACGAGCGATTAATAAAGAAACGCTGGACCGCGAGCGGTGTTTCCGTCCCAGAGTCGGCGCGGTCGCGTCGGTTTTCCAATCGCGGAGGCTCGCGCCGACGCAATTATTTCTAATCGGTTTAGAAAATCCGCGCGTCGGCTGTCCGCCGCTGCCGTCTCGAGAGGCTGACGCGCGTCTCGAG